GCAGAGCTAATTTTCATTATAGTTTGGTTGTCTATGAGATTATATTAGAGTTTTAAAAGAAGTATAAGTTAATGTAAACCACAGAAGGTTACCATGATAGTTGTCTATATTCACTCCGAATTTTAAAACTATCTAAACGTAATCAGTAAAGTACTTTATCTTTCACAGTTACCATTTAGGTTTGATGTTGTTATAATACCAAATTTCTGAGAAAAAAATTAGTTTAATAGTGTTTGGGAAGATTGTGAGGAGAGGATTACTTGTATTTTAGGCTATTATCCATAAAGAATAAAATTAAATAAGTAGAGAACTTCCTGCTCTGAGTTTTTGCTTGTAGCAGACCAATGGCTCTGGTGTTAAGTCCCAGAAAAGCTAGGTAAAATACAATTTAAAAAAAATTGTGTGTGAAGACATTAAATAGCTAACAAAGCGAACTAGATCTGGTAGGGAAGAAAGCACATTGAGGCTTCCCTCTGGGCATTTGCTGATACTTGGTGTGAGGCTAGAGTATGAGAAACTGGCTTGGGGCAGCTGCTAAGAATCAGAAAAACCATATAGCTTTTAGCAAATTTGTTGAAATGGAAGACAACAATTAAAATTCTGGGTCAATAAAGCTTTGACTTAAAGGGCCAAGATCCTAGAGAGAAGTTAAGAAAAATTAAGCCTAACACTCAGAGGTTCTCTCCACATGGCACATGCTTATTCTTAGCTGTGTAAGAGAAGAGACCAAGAGGTCAGACAAAAGCCAGTTGGAACACTAAACAGAGTTTTGACAGTTGTACGGTTCTGGGAGTAACAAAAGTTGGAGTTTAGGACCAGTCAAGGAAGGTTGGGGCCTCAAGAAACATCCAGACTCTTAGTTGGGTTCCCTATAGGACTATACCCTTGAAATGGGGACAAACCAGAGGTAGACCATGGTCAAGAAAGAAATCACAAAGGAAATTTAAAATAGAATACGTATCTGCATCACTTTTGAGTTTTTTCAAAAATAGTTTTTTTGACAGGATACAAGAAAAATCACAGAAAAAAACATTAATTAGAGTACAGTAGAATTATGACTTCATCAAAAGATGCCATTTACAGTGAAAATCAAAGCACAGAGTAGAAGGTATTTATAATACATATATGACAGACTATATTTAAAAACTCTTACAATTTGTTAAGAAAACAAATATTCAGAGACTGAAGCAGTCTCTTCATGAAAGCATTGGAGCAGCTACTCAAAAACTACAGTAGCCAAATGGCCACTAGACACGAGAAAGTGCTCAACCTCATTAGTCATTGTGAATATTCTAATTAAAGCCACAATGAACTATCACTGCACATCCACTAGAATGGTTAAGATAATTAAGATTGACAACACCAATTGCTATTGAGGATGTAGAGCAACAGGAACTCTCATACCACTGGTGGGAATATAAGTTTATATAACTCTGAAAAACTATTTAGCATTTTCTGCTAAATCTGAACATATGCATATCCTTTTGTTTTTAAATCCTCACCCAAGGATGTGTTTGTTTATTTGAGAAAATTAATTGAATTGATTGTACGTGATTTCTACATATTTTTATTAATGTTATATTTCAATGAAAAGTTTACCTGAAAAAGAAAGCTAGCATGTGTCAGATTCTCTGTATTCACCCAAAAGAAATTGAGTATATCTTAGGTAATTACTATAATTATTAGGAAATTTGAAATTTTAAATGCTGAAAAAAATTAATAAGCAAGACTAAATATAGAAAGTAGAGCATATATTTATATGAATGAAATTGACAAAATTAAAATTATAAATGAGACTAGCCTCATTTCTCTATTGTAAAAGTAACTCTGACTTTGTGAACATACCAATACAAAATCTAAGCTCTTAGTTATATTAAATTTTTTTGATGAAAATTTCTATTCTCTTAAATATCACAAATATACTGTGACCACAGGCCAACTGTGCAGGAAGATGGAGGAGATGTAATATATAAGGGCTTTGAAGATGGTATCGTACAGCTGAAACTCCAAGGTTCTTGTACCAGCTGCCCTAGTTCAATCATTACTCTGAAAAATGGAATTCAGAACATGCTGCAGTTTTATATTCCAGAAGTAGAAGGCGTAGAACAGGTATGCCAATATTATGCAATGGTTTTAATATTAAAATATCAAATAGATTTAAGATAAACATTTGAGAAGAAAAGAAATTCATGACCTGACATTTTCATCAAGGGCTGGATCTTAGTGTTATAATTTTTATCAGACTTTATGACTCTTTAATTTAGAATTAACTTTAGTGTTATGAATACCTACTGTGTGCCAGGCATTTTTACAAATATTACTTCATTTAATTTTCTAATAGTATGGTATAGTAATAGATTTAAAAACAAACAAACATTTTGTTCCATTTTCTGCCATATGCCTTTTCCTTTTTTTGGCCATATCCCTTTTAAAAATTACATTAGTTGACACTGTGGATTGACAAAGGAACATTTTTGTTTACTTGTCCAGGGTGGGGTGATGAATTGGCTGTCAGATTGTAAACTTGAATTGGCATTTAATTGTAGTAGGTGTGGTGAAGGAAAAAAAAATTCTTCAGTTTATATAACTCTCTTCCTTACCAAAGGAGTTGTTCTTTATTATTTGAGTAATATATTAACTCATGAAAAGACATTAATTTTATTTTTTTCTTCAAGTATTCATTAGTTTTATTAACTTACTAGAAATGAAAGTCTTAACATTTTTCTAAGGTTTGAAATGAATTTTTATCTGAGTAAGATAAAATAGTTGCCAATATATTTTGTTTACTTACTTTTTGGGGGGATTCATTTTATAAAAAATTTTTTGATTGATTTTTAGAGAGGGAGAGGAAGGAAGAGATAGAGAGAAACATCAATTTATTGTTCCACTTATTTTTTTTAATATATATTTTTTATTGATTTCAGAGAGGAAGGGAGAGCAATAGAAACATCAATGATGAGAGAGAATCATTGATTGGCTGCCTCTTGCAAGCCCCCCACTGTGGGGAAGCGAGCCTGCAACCCAGGCATGTGCTCTTAGCCAGAATCCAACCTGGGACCCTTTAGTCCGCAGGCTGATGCTTTATCCACTGAGCCAAACCGGCGAAAGCTTCCACTTATTTATATATTCATTGGTTGATTCTTGCATGTGCCCTGATTGGGGATCGAACTGGAAATCTTGGCATATCTGGGCGACACTAACCAATTAAGCTACCCGGCCAGGGCTCAGAATTCATTTTTCTAATGTATATTTTTACAGTTCGGTATAGAACCCCAGAATATATTTAAATAAGTAAGATGCTGTTTTGTTAGGGAGGGGGGTAATCAATTACATTAGTCTTATGACTAGGAAATACCAATTAATCTTTATAGTCTTCTCTGACCAGCTGACACTCTGCTATTGCCTCTTTTGGGACAAGGAGACCAGAGCTTTTAATTAATTTGCTAATATTCAGTTTGCTTCTATGTTGTTAGGATACCAGGTTACTATGCAAACCTTCTGCTTTGGGGCTGTTGATAGATTTATTTTTATTGACTTGCATTACTATAGAATAGAGTATTTCAGGTAAGAAAGTAATGTTAAAAACAATAAAATAGCAATTTCTAATTATATTCTTAATTCTTAAATTCTCTTTGTTTTCTTTCTTTCTTTTTTTTTGGTTCTAGGTTATGGAAGATGAATCAAATGAAAAAGAAACAAATTCACCTTAAAATATTTTGAGTCTTTTGGGGGCCCAGCAATCGGACTTATTGATACTGTATACCTTGCTTTTATTATTAACTGCTAAGGAACTGCAGATTAATAAAATATGCCCTTCAAAGAATGATATATAAATAGTGCATGTTTACTTGACCTCATATGAGTTATTTATAATATCCTGAATCATTTTCTGTACACATGAATTTTATTCAGGGATATTTTATTTTTGTTAGTCATTTTTCATGGTTAATTCTTTGCGTAATGTTTGAAGCAGTTTAAAATACATTTTACCTCATCTCATTTATTTTTAAAATGCAGAAGTGAACAAGGAGAATATACTTTAAAAAATATTCTAAATGGCTTAGCTTTTGTGAGATGTTTGAAACTATTTTTTTAAAATATATTTTATTGATTTTTTACAGAGAGGAAGGGAGAGAGATAGAGAGTTAGAAACATCGATGAGAGAGAAACATCGATCAGCTGCCTCCTGCACACCTCCCATTGGGGATGTGCCCGCAACCTAGGTATATGCCCTTGACTGGAATAACCCCAACTAAACAATTTTGGCTTAAAAATGATATCAGGCTGCCCTGGCTGGTGTGGCTCAGTTGTTTGAGCATTGTCCCATGCATTGAAAGGTGGCCAGTTTGATTCCTGGTCAGGGTACATGCCCAGGTTGTGGGTTTGAGACAAAAAACAAACACACACAAACAAATCATAACGCTGAGTATTGATTAAAACAAAAACAGATTCCAGAATGTAGAAAAAAATTCAATTAATTATAAGACAGTGCAGGCTGAATTGAGAAAAACTGCCTTAGCATGCTCAGGCTTTACCTTATGAAGCAGAATCTCTCTGAAATAAAGATGAGAAGCTGATCTGGTCCTTTTATTGGCTTCTGACTCAGAGATTTATAGTCTGTGCCATGCCAGAAATTTGGACAACTCTCTCTCTACTATAGGAGTACTGCTTTTTAAGATACCCTACATAGCAAATTATCCTCTCTCCTTTTTCTGTAGTAATTCAGAGACAACATTTCACAAACAATATCAGGAAAAGAAATATGGGTATATTACATCTCTGGATTTCTGGTCTCCAAAAGTACAGAGATTAAGATAGGGACGGAAACAGGAAGAACTCCAGCAGTTGTGAATGCCAAGATTGAAGTTTTTATTTTTGTTCTTTGATTCACATGAACAGATAATTGAGTTTGGACAATGTATTTCCTGAGCTATTATAGATGAATTCAGCTTATATACTCTTGGGATTGCTTTATAAACTAGGAATTGACTCACGCAATCATGGAGGCTAGCAAATTCAAAATCTGCAGGGTGGCCCCAACTGCTGCAGACAGGGAAGAGCCTATGTTGCAATCCAAGTCCAGCTCTGCTCGTGAATTCTTTCTGCTCTGGAGAGGTGAGTCTATTGTTCTAGTCCAGCGGTTCTCAACCTGTGGGTTGCGACCCCTTTGGGAGTTGAACGACCTTTTCACAGGGGTCGCCTAAGACCATCGGAAAACACATATATAATTATATATTTTTGTGATTAATCACTATGCTTTAATTATGTTCAATTTGTAACAATGAAAATACATCCTGCATATCAGATATTTACATTATGATTCATAACAGTAGCAAAATTACAGTTATGAAGTAGCAACAAAAATAATTTTATGGTTGGGGGTCACCACAATATGAGGAACTGTATTAAAGGGTCGTGGCATTAGGAAGGTTGAGAACCATTGTTCTAGTCAACTGATTGAATTAGGACCACACACATTATGGAGGGCAAGGTGCTTTACTCAAAGTCCACCAATTTAAATGTTAATCTCATCCAAAATCACCCTCAGACACATCCAGAATGTGTGCTAATATCTGGGCACTGTGGCTGAGCCAAAGTGACAAAAAAAATAACTGTCACAGTGAATGAAGTTTGCTTTTATGGCCAACTTATCTCTTTAAAAATTAAAAAAAATTATTTTAGAGAGAGAGAAATTGATTTATTGTTTCACTTATTTATTCATTCATTGGTTGATTCTGGTATGTGCCCTGATGGGATTAAACCCGACAACTTTGGAGTATTGGGATGATTCTCTAATCAACTGACCTACCTGGCCAGAGCCCCTGGTTAACTCATCTGATTCCTTCTTCCATATTTTACCCCCCCTCTCTGCATTGCCATACTCAGTTCCACAGGCTCTTATATTGTCACGTTTTTGCCCAGTGTCATCAATCGAGGTAATCTGCCCAGGTCTGCCTTCCTTCTGATTTCAGAATTATCTTCCCTTCAAAATTTACATTTCCTCAGTGACCTTTTCACACCTGGTATGGAAATGAAAAGTAATCCTATAAATAGTTTCACTCTAAAGTGTTAATAGATCATAATGACTTAATGTAGATCTCCTAGGGAAGAGGGAGGTGTTCTGCATTAACTATACACTGGCCAGATTATTATGACCACCTGACGATTGTAGGCAAATTAGCCATACCCTGCATCGTATGGGATATGGAAGCCGAAGGCCTGTTCGAACACTTTGCTGTCTGTAGTTACCAAGATAAAACGGCTTCAATTCGCACAGGAACACAAGGAGTGGACAGTCGAGCATTGGAAAAAAAGTCATGTGGTCCGATGAATCACATTTCCAGTTGTATCATGCAGATGGCGGAGTGAGAATTTGGTGGAAACAGCATGAAAGCATGCACCCCACATGCATGAGTACAACCCTTCAAGCTGGTGGGGGCAGTGTTATGGTTTGGGGCATGTTTTCCTGGCATGATTTGGGCCCTTTAATTCGTGTGGAACAACGTCTAAATAGCACAACATACCTAAGTATCGTTGCTGATCAAGTTCATCCTATCATGTTGATGGCATATCCCAATGGAGATGGCTTCTTCCAACAAGACAATGCACCATGTCACGGTGCTCATATTGTGCAGGAGTCGTTTCAAGAACATGAGGGAGACTTTACCTTCTTAGGTGGCCCCCACAATCACCAGATCTCAATCCAATTGAGCATTTGTGCGACAAAGTTAAAAGAGCCATCAGGCAGCTGGTTCCACAACCATCAAATCTCACAGAACTGGACAGTGCTATTCATCAGGCATGGTGTCAGATTCCTCGCATCACCTTTCAACATCTCGTGGGGTCAATGCCATGAAGAATCGCCGCAGTATTGAAGTCAAAAGGTGGCCCAAAGAAGTACTGATGGAGTGGTCCTAATAATATGGCCACTCAGTGTAAATGGACAGGTGGACTTTAGGCATGTGATAGCCAATAAATGGAGGTAATTTGGGACAGGAAACTTTTTGGTCTCCTATAATCACATTTTGTAAATGACTAGTTCTCTATAGTCAAGGCCTATTTAACATCTGGTTCCCTTTCTGATGTGTTCAAAAAAGGGCAAGTGCAAATATATGAAAGTTTGAGATAGTATTCCTGTTTCTAAAATTTTTATTGATTTTTAGAGGGAGAGATAGAAACATCAGTTATTCCATTTATTTATGCATTCATTGGTTGCTTTTTTCCCCTAAAATATATTTTTATTGATTTCAGAGGAAGGGAGAGGGAGAGAGAGAAACATCAATGATGAGAATCATTGACCAGCTGCCTCCTGCATGCTCCCCACCGGGGATGGAGCCCACAACCCAGGCCTGTGCCCTGACTGGGAATCCAACCATTACCCCCTGGTTCATAGGTCGATGGTCAACCACTAAGCCACGTAGGCCTTTTTAATTTTAACAATTTTATTGCTATTTATATTGGGAGTCAGCCAAGGGATAACAAAACTCACAAATGTGGAAGTTTGATAATCTTATACAGCTATTTCAATTATGGTTTTTCATTTCTTTAGAAATGACAACTAGAAGCCCTGATGCATAGCAAGGAGGAGGCTGAGAACCATTAGATTTCACAGGACTAACCTGGGAAATTGAGTAGCATAAAGAGACAATAAATGACACACCATCATCACTTTTTATTTTTTCAATTCTGTTCAAAAGTTTTGATCAGAGAAAAAATCCTTTCCATTTCCTCAGATGTTTGAATAAGACCCAGATGTCCCCGTTCATTCCTAGGTAATTTAATTTTTTCTTCTGCAGCTCTGATTTCCAAATGTGCAGCTCAGGCAAAGCTCTGTAGATGGGGTTCAGACAAACAAAATGCTTCTATATCAGTGTCTGGACTGGCACCTGGTTACAAAGGGCTCTTTGTTTCAGTGGGTTGGTGAGGTTGTTCAAGGTTGGGTTGGTGTGGAGGAAAGGCTGTTCCATGACGTGACTGCTGCCTGTCCTGTGAGCTAGAGCTAGACCAGAACAGAGGTTGCTTTCTGTAAACCCACCTCTCTGAATTGATGTTATTCTAACATAAATTTATGCCTCTCTTGCTTCCTGTGATATGCTGGTTCCTGGAACAGGTTGTTGTCCTGACTTGGTCAAGCACATAATTTCTAGCATTCAGGTACTAGTGCCTGTGATTATTGGCCACTTTTACCCTATGTAATTCTTTGGTATCTGGCAGTGAATGGCATGGGGACCCATTTTGTTTTGCAGCTACCCAAGACATGCCTTATAAGTTCCCCTTTATAAATTTTATTAATTACCTGACTAGAGTGGCCAGCCTCTTTCTTTGGTCTTTCTCTGCCTTCCACTTATGGAGGTAAATTTTCATTCTTGGGGCTGTCTCTGGGTCTGCGTGTATTAAACAGCTGGGGAAATAATTGGCCTTAAAAGTTTCTTCCTCTCAACTGATGCATAAGCACTTTCCAAAATAGCTGTAAAATGGAGATGGACAAGACAAATGGATAGTCATGATGGAGAAACAAGCAGAAGAGGAAAGCAGGGGGTTCAGCAATTACAGTTTGAGCATGAGAACTTCGGTGGTCCTGCTGTCTTTTCTTTGTGGCATTGACAGGATTTCTGGCAGCTTACAAAGGTGTCCAAACATTGTAATCATGCCCTGGCCAGCGTGGCTCGGTTGGAGCGTCTTCCTGTGTACTGAAGGGTCTCGGGTTCAATTCCTGGTCAGGGCATATACCCAGGTTGATCCCCATTTGGTGCATACAGAAGGCAGCCAATCGATGGTTCTGTCACATTGATGTTTCTTCCTAAAACCAGTAAACACACACACACACACAGAAACATTGTAATCATACCTTGACATCTTGGAAGTTTTACTGAAGGCTTACCAGAACCGCTTAGATGAGGGTCTGAGGCTAACATGTACTTTGCCTCATAAACATAGCATGTTTATGTCCCAAACGTGTTGTCTCTTTTCAAATAGCTCACTGTTGTTTTATAAATTTTGCTCTGGGTGATACAGGAACCTGTTTAAGGGCCTGAAATATTAAAGGGTTTTCATGTTAGAAATACTCTGATTAGTTCAATGTTACATTTTCTGGCCTCTCTTTGAGGCCAGTGATAAAAAGACATCCCCTCCCCACCCCAAGAAAAACTGAAAAGCCCTTTGCTCACTTGATCATAAAACCAGCCATAGAAAGTAAACTCTACTAAGAACATTAGACTTTTTTTCACTCATTCAAAAGCATTTTTGATCCCTTACTTTGTGGTAAGTTCTATACTAGGTGTTGAGTATGCAAACACTTGTTCTAGCTTCAAGAAACAGCCTAGTAGAGGAATATGCAGAAAGCAAAAGTAAAAAATTAAAGTATATTGCTTTAAAGGGGGCAACTCAAAGAATGAGAGGTTAATGCATGTCCTTATGTCTCTCTGGGGGAGACAAAAAAGGTTTTCCCTAAGAGGTAGCATTTAAGTAGGGAAGGTGTGTGGATTCCATGAAGAGTAACCAAAGTGTGCAAAAGTCTTGAGAATATTGGCCCAATTGAGAGAACACCTGTTCAGCGTTATTGGAGTGTAAAGAGCTGGAAGGTGTGGTAGGAAAGGAGCAGCAGTGAAGTAAGATGAGACATCTGGGGTCAGAAGTCCATGCCATGTTCTATGTGCCATATAAGTTTTTATTTGATTCTACTCTAGAGTCATTCATAGAGTTATGATAACCATCTACATTTTACTAAAGACACTATTTAAATCTTACTAAGCAACTGCTCAGGTAATAAATTCTCAGAAACATCATCTCTCTTTGATTAAGTTTCTCTTGGCAGGAATGGTGCATTAATTAATAGAATTAGTTAATCGTTGATGAGTCAAATGTAAGGCTGTCAAATCTGGGCAATTCCTACAGTCCTGTCAGGTGGGCCAGCAGAAGTCTCCCCTGCTCCTCTGCAAAAAAAAAATTTTGAAAAAAAAAAAAAAAAAAAAAAAAAAAAAAACAAAAACAAAAACAAACAAAAAAAGGGGTTAGGGAGTCAATGAATGGGGGCGGAGGACTTTTGGAGGCCAAGCATATAACATAGAGCCTAAGTCGGGAACTGAATTGCCTGCCACCTGGAAGACTCACAGAAC